ATAAAGCCCCCTGCTGAAAGCTCTAGCAACGTTTGTTACTGACAAAATGGTAATTTGGTACCAGGATTAAGGCTTTCCACACGAGCAGCTAAGAAGATAAGGAACAGAAACCTGTAACCGTTTGGAGAAGCCTACATAGCTTTTGCTACTTTCTACAATACATAGAAGTTTGTGCAGCGGGCATAAGTGTAAGAAGAATTCATATGCAGTGATTTAATAAAAAAGGAAACATCATTCCCATTAACGACATAAAAGCAACGTGCATATTAATGCTTTAGCATGTTGTTAAAGCTCCAATTATGTTATTATGCGAGAGCAACGTGTAAGAAAACTTCATTCAGTCAACACTGTGTTCTCCACAAGCATTACTTCATACAGATTTTGTAATGCATACATAAATTCAAAAGGTTAGGATTTTTTTAAAAAAAGTCATATATTGGTGCTTAAGGATTTAGTCAATGAGGAAATATTTTCTCTTACTCTCTTTCCTAGAATACTCTCCTGCTGAGGGTGTGCAAAGAATGAAACAGCCTCCCAGTAGCAACGTACTTCCTTGTGACTCCTCTGAAGACAAATCTGATTCATGTAAAACTCTGATTTGGCCCAGCAGCCAGCACACTTGCCTTGCGAAAAGTTCCCCATCTCCCAGCCCATGGCCATATTATTTTCCCAGAAGAAAGCTTCCACTATCTCCATGCTAGTGGTCAAACGTGACCCACAGTGCACCACATGAAGTAAACTCTGGCTTGAATATTAGTTTAATTTCTGTATTACATAAGCTTTTGTGCTCATCTAGCAAAAAAGTTACCCACCCTATCTGATCTTACATCTCCGAGCGATACACCAGTTCACCTCCACTTTCACAGTTTTATATTTTGCCCACTATCACTACTAAAATTGCGAGAACTACAGAAATATGCAGGGGAGGCCCTTGGTAAGTGCAGTTTTAAAGAGCTGAGTGGGATTAGAGTTTTCACTAAAAAAGCATACTATAAAAGTCTCCAAACTCTGATGAAAATTCAGAATCTCTTATTAGGACTACATCACTTCCTGGTACTTTCCACAGTAGAAAATTTTTTAAATGGAGAATCTGCATGCTGCTTCCTTCCTACAAAATTAAACATTTGGATAGCCCAGAAATAAGCTTACCCAAGAGTACAAGTTTGCAAGATCAGGCTATGGGAAACCAGCCTGTAAATGAAAAACAACCTAAGTCTCACAACACCCATCAGCCATTGACCCGCTGCTTCCAGTGACGCAATGTTACACTGTGCCTAAATAACATCCATACACAGGATTATTTTGTTGGACAGAACACTAATGTTGCAAAAGCCAATGCTGAACAGTCACAGACTTGAAACAAGGTTACACTGCAAACTTCTATTGTAATAATGCAGCAAGCTGGAAGACAGACTTTTTAAAGACAACAACCTAACTCAATTTATTCACTCTCATAGTCACAGTTCAGTTACTTTAGTACCACAGTTTTGGTACCAGAGCTTCTCTGTCCTCTTTGCCTCATTTACTCACTTTGCTGTGTGAGAAAAAGGATGCAAAGGAACTAAAGAGCAAACAGTTGGCACTCATACAGTTGAAGGCTATAAACCAGCACATATGTAAGAAAGGTCAAATAAAAATTGCAACAGCAGAATAGTAATTTTGAAAAAAATATACAAACTTACAACTTAAGAGATAATAAAATCTGAATTGCTCATTACACTCTCCTCTACGGCTATAATGGTTTTTACTTAAAATTGCAGATACAAGAAGTCCAAGTACCTTTATCATTAATCCAATAAGCACAAAATCAACACAGTATTTCCCTTTTTACCCTTTCGCATTTGACATTTTCTACTAGAAAACAAGTAAATAACAGCTATCTGAAGAAAACAGCAATATTCCACAAGTGGGTTTGTACCTGAAACGCTGTAAAAGAGCAGTGCTTCATGTCACAGCCATAACACCAAACAGTAACAGAATTATTTGTTGTTACATTATCTCCATGGTGCAATGCAGATTCCAAATGAGCATAGGGCAAAGAATGAAAAGGAGGAAAGATGACGTTTGTTAGCCTTAAGAACAAAGCACCAAGATACGATAAAACCTGAAGCAGTTGTTCATGTGACTCCATGAAAAGGTTATTTTCAACATAGCTGTCTGTATAAATCAATAATACAGCCTCACTAACCACACTCCCAGAAAATGTGATTTTTAGAGACAGCTACAAAAGTTTTGGTATGCAATTGAACTTTGAACTTCAGTCTTAAGATCAGTTTTGTAGAAATAAGGAAAATTCATATCTACACCCAACTTTACAAAT